CAACGGGCCGATACTATGCCAATCCGAAGCCAGGAGCCTCTTCCGGGTCTCCCACGCGGGTGCAGGGTCCCAAAGCTGTGGGCCGTCCTTGGCTGCTTTCCCAGGCCACAAGCAGGGAGCTGGAAGGGAAGCGGGGCTGCCGGGATTAGAACCGGCGTCCATATGGGATCCCGGGCGTGCAAAGCGAGGACCTTTAACCACTTGCGCCACCGTGCCGGGCCCCCAAATGGCCTTTTAGCAGAAAAAAAATTCTTCATCCTAGCTACAAGTGTAGTCTTCATGAAAAGGGGAATATAGAATTCTGTCACATAGTTTTCTTTTTCCCAGTTTTTATTACTTTTAAGATTGATTTTGATTTACAAATTCTAGTTTACTCGTTTTTCAGTGGTATTTGTCACATCCATGGCTATATTGATAGAATTTTTTTAAAGATTTATTTGTTTGCATGGGGCCCTATATTTTGCTTAAATCTATCATTAAAATTTACATATATTAAGAATATATTTGTAATTTATTTTCAGGGAGTTTATTGAAATAGGGTTGAATGTACATTCAGGAACAATAAACTGAAAAAAATCCTAAGAAATCAAAAAGTAGATCACAAGATACCCCAAATAATTTCTTTTGAAAAAAAATGATAATTATGGTCATCCTACCCTGTTATCCAATCATAAAACTTGTTTTTTTTGTTTGTTTGCTTTGCTCTTCTAGCTGATTAGTTTGAAAATTGAACGTTTATATTTTCCTACCTGAACAGAGAAGCAATATTCATGTTTAAAATGAATGGAAATAAATACCTCCAGGTTTTTTTGTTTGTTTTTTGAAACTGTGAAGATGAATTCAGTTGACATCATTTAGATAAGAGTTTTTGGTGACAGTTTTGGTTAAATATTAGAAGTGTGATTTTAGCATCAGTTTTGTGAACACAGTGTTAAAAATGAAATAGGTGTATTTGAATTCAATATATTTTTGCATATGAACAGTTACAAGCTGTTTTAAGTATGATATGTCACAGAAAGCACTGTTGATATAAAACTACACTTTTTACTCCAGTTGAATTTCCATAAAACTTGTTCATATAAGCCAGGGATGGGAATCATCTGAACCACGGTGGCATAGGGCCCATAAAATCGTCTGGACTGACCCTGTCAAAGCAGCTGCCAGTGGGACTTAAAAGTCAACAGATCTGAGTCTGGTATGGTAGACTATCAGCTAACGTCCTCGCCTTGAATGCAGTGGGATCCCATATGGGCAACAGATCGTGTCCTGGCAGCCCTGCTTCTCATCCAGCTCCCTGTTTGTGGCCTGGGAAAACAGTTGAGGATGACCCAAAAGCCTTGGGACACTGCTGTCATGTGCGAGACCTGGAAGAGGTTCCTGGCTCCTGGCTTTGGATAGGCACAGCTCTAGCTGTTGTGGTTGCTTGGAGAGTGAAGCAGGGGACAAAAGATCTCCCTGTCTGTTTCCTCCTCTCAGTATATCTGACTTTCTAATAAAAATAAATAAATCTTAAAAAAAAGTCAACAGATTTGTATCAGGCTAATAATAATTTTGTTGAATAGTGTATATGGGCTGCAGATTATGTTTTGAATATCCAAATGGCCTTTTTTTTTTTTAAAGATTTATTTTTATTATTATTTTTTCATTGGAAAGGCGGATATACAGAGAGGAGAGACAGAGAGGAAGATCTTCCGTCTGATGATTCACTCCCCAAGTGAGCGCAACGGGCCGATACTATGCCAATCCGAAGCCAGGAGCCTCTTCCGGGTCTCCCACGCGGGTGCAGGGTCCCAAAGCTGTGGGCCGTCCTTGGCTGCTTTCCCAGGCCACAAGCAGGGAGCTGGAAGGGAAGCGGGGCTGCCGGGATTAGAACCGGCGTCCATATGGGATCCCGGGCGTGCAAAGCGAGGACCTTTAACCACTTGCGCCACCGTGCCGGGCCCCCAAATGGCCTTTTAGCAGAAAAAAAATTCTTCATCCTAGCTACAAATGTAGTCTTCATGAAAAGGGGAATATAGAATTCTGTCACATAGTTTTCTTTTTCCCAGTTTTTATTACTTTTAAGATTGATTTTGATTTACAAATTCTAGTTTACTCGTTTTTCAGTGGTATTTGTCACATCCATGGCTATATTGATAGAATTTTTTTAAAGATTTATTTGTTTGAAAGATTTACAGGGAGAGAAAGATCTTCCTTCTGCTGGCTTACTCTCCAGATGGCCACAAGACTGGAGCTGAGCCAATCTGAAGCCAGGAGCCAGGAGCTTCCTCTGGGTCTGCCACATGGCTACAGGGGCCCAAGGACTCAAGTTCTCCTGTGCTGTTTCTCTAGGTGTATTAGCAGTGAGGTCGTTTGGAAGTGGAGAGGCAAGGACTTGAACTGGTACCCATGTGAAATGCCAGCATAGCAGGCAGAGGTTTAACTTGCTGCACCATATGCCAGCCCGTACTGATACTTATTGGAAATAAAATCCATTCAATGTTTTTTTGTTTTTTTTTTTTACAAAAACATTTAATTTTTAACTCAATTTTTAAGTAATACTATATCTTGAATTCAGAAACATGTAATAGTATATATTTGTTTAGATTGTGATAATAGTTTCTTTGTGTAGGTCCATCCTGGTTTTTTAAAAAAAATTCTTTATAAAAGCTCCATATAAGAAAAAACGTAAGGCTAGAAAAGCAAAATAGGAACAAACACTGTAACCTGTGGTTGTAATACTTAATTGTGGAACAGGAGAAGGAAACTTAATTCTAATATTGACTTTAAGATAGTGAGAATAGTTATTCTCTTTTAAATAGGTTTAAATTCCTTCAAAAGTTATATTTATGTTTAGTTGTGAGACAGAATGCACAGAGGCGTCTTCCATCTGATAGCTCCCTGACTAAATACCCCGATGCCCAAATGAGGCCCATGCCGGGAACCTGCACTTACAGGGGATCTACCACGGCGATGACGGAGACACAGGTGGACTTGTCCAGTGCTTCCTACAAGGCTGTGCAGGAAGCTGACAGTGGAAGCAGGGCTCACTCAGGAACCAGGCCCCTCTGGGCTTCGCAGCTGCAGAATAGCACTGATTTCCGACTTGGTGAAGTTTTGTAGGACTGAATGAATTAATGCATTTAACATTTAGGACAGCATAGGACACATATGATTATTTAAAGAACATTAGTTATTATTAATTTGTTTATATGTAAGTTTCTGACAGGCATTATTATAAAAGGTAGGTACTTTAACATATTTGTGTAAAAAGCAAAAATAAGTTTAGGTAGCCTGTTTCTGTTGAGTAATAACATCACCACCTCACTAGAAATAAACTTGTAAACACCAGTTGTCTTTAGGATATACCGTAAATAATGAATATATTCAGAATAAAATAATGAAATATATTCAGAAGGTTTTAGACATTAAAAATCTACAAAGGTGAATTTTGACCATGGTTTTACAAATTTTCATTTTTCTAGAGTCACTTTCTGGCAGTTCTTTCTGAAGGTGCTCAGCAAGATTTTTGCTTCTGTGTTGCATGATTTAGTAGTACTAGAATTAATGATTGTTTTTCACGACTTTGAAATTTAATTGTAGGTTCATTTAACAGTAAAGTATTTTACTATAAAATAGAATGATGATAAATCTTTCTAATGGTAAGTGGGTATCTGAAGGTTTTTTTAAAATAGTGAATATTTAATATAATGCCTATTCCATATTCTAGCAATTTGGACATTTTATTAAATAATCTGAACTTCCAAAAGTTATTTCATATAAACTTAATCTAATATACTAAAATTTACTTTATACTATTATTTGCACATCAGAATAATAACCTACATCTTTTTTATTTTTTATTTTTTCTGTTCTAATTTGACATGTAGAGAAAATTGGGCGGATGCAGTAATTCAGTGTAGGTTTGTCTCCTACATGGATGTCAGGATCCCAGGTGTGGCAGCCGCCTAGGGTCTGCGTTGGCAGGAAGCTAGAATCAGACGCAGAGCTAGAAACCCAGAAATTACATGTTAGCACATAACCATTTTAACAGCACCTTAACCACTTGACCAAATGCCTGTCCTGATCTCTTTTTAAAATGTAATACCTATGAAGTAGGTATTTTTTAGGTGGCATTAGGATTTAAATTAATTCTTTGCATTAAGTTTATGTTCTTGGTGTTTATGAGTTCAGGATAAGAACTTTTTTTGGTTCTTTTAAGACTTGCTTTATTTGAAGGCAGAGTTTGGCCTTGTGTGGTGTCTTTGGAGAATAATCCTCCTGCTGGCACCTGCATCCCACAAGACCCCTGCTTATGGAAACACACCAGAGAATGGCCTACGGCTCCCTGTACGCAGGTGGGAGATCCTGAGGAAACTCCCAGCTTTGGACTGGTTCAGCTCTAGCCCTTGCGGCCATTTGGTAACGTGACCCAGAAGATGAAAAGACCTGTTTCTTTTTCTCTGTGTGTAATTCTGACTTCCCAGGTAAATAAATATTAAAAAAAAAAAAGAAAAAAAAAAAGAAAGAAATAGCTGGGCCTCAAGCTGGTGTCCAAATGAGATGCTTGCCCTGTAAGTGGAAACATATTCTACTATGCCATGATGCTTGCCTTCCAAAAGTTTTAATTATAACTAATAAAATATGTCACTTGAGTAAAATTTAAAGATTTGGTTATTTGAAACAGTTATAGAGACGAAGACATTTTCCATGTGCTGGTTTCACTCCCAGATTGTTGCAGCCCAGGGTGCACCAGGCTGAAGAAGGAGCCAGGACCTTGTTCCCAGTCCCCACGTGCTGTTAAAGGGCCCAGACACCAGAGCCATCTTCTGTCGCCTTTCCCTGGCTATTAGCAGAGTGCTGGATCAGAAGTGGTGCCTGTATTGGAGTCCAGTGTTGCAGGCAGCAGCTTTACTCGCTGTGCCAAAAGGCTGGCTCCCAGATTATTTTTAAATTGATTTAAGACATAAGTAAAATAAAATTTAACTTAAAATTAATTTTTCCTGTTGATATTTTTTCAGCTATGCAAAAGCAGCCTTTTGTTTAGAAGAGCTTATGATGACGAACCCACACAACCACTTATACTGTCAGCAGTATGCTGAAGTAAGTGTTTTTAGAAATAAGATTACTTGTAATTTCATTTTTGTTGCTGTTATGATATTATGATGCTAAGAACATTCCCTTCATGTTAGGCAAGTAAAATAAATATTTAAAACATCTAAGTTGAATATACATTTGTGGGAATGAAAGTTGTGAATTTTTAGTGTTAAGATGAAAACACTGGCAAACATCCAGTTTTAGAAGTGAAACTCTTTGCTTTTATGTGGTGTTTTTATGTAGTAGTTATATAAAATGTTAAGTAAAACTATTTTCTCCTTAAATCATTACTTATTTCACAATTGCTTTTCCGTAATGGCTTCTAAGACATTTAAGATGATTATGATTTTAAAGTTGTTTTCTGGAGCATTCATATTAAAATTAATATTTCTTAAGAGGTTTTAAATTGGTTACTATGAAGAATAAAGGTACAAGAAATGTATGTATCACATTATACAGAATAGAATAATTTGGGGGCTGGGTCATGTTTTAAGTTTTAGATCATGCCTAATATGTTTGAGGTGAATTCTTTAAAAATTCTGCGTTTTTTTTAGAGTTTGTATTTCAGTTATTTAAATGTCTGTGATGTGATGATACATGCTGTATTTCAAAGTAGTAAAATAAACAGTTTTCAGCACCCTGCATTTTTAAACAGGTTAAATATACCCAAGGTGGACTTGAAAACCTGGAACTTTCAAGAAAGTATTTTGCACAGGCGTTGAAACTGAACAATAGAAATATGAGAGCTTTGTTTGGGCTTTACATGGTGAGTTGAGGAACATGTTTAATGTTACAAGATTTTTCCTTGCCAAGCATTGCTTTTGTTGTTTGTTTTATTCACGGATGATGGATCTAATTTTTTTTTTTTTCGTGTGGTCAAGTTAGAAAAATAGGTTGTAAGGTAGTTTTAGTTTTGGATGTTAAACATCCTAGCTGTTTTACATTTCATTGTAAGTTATGCTCTACCATATTAGAATTGAAATCTGTTTTGCAAAATTAAGTTGTAACAATACAAACCCATGTTATGAATTTCTTAATGGTTCTGTTCTTGGATTTACGGCAACATTATATATATATTTTTTTTACTTAAATTGTATGACTCTTCTCAAATTATGCCATTAAAGGATATATTAGAACTAAAACTTCTGATATGTCAAAGAAAAACATTTTATTAGATAAAAAAAAAACTGTTTGGAAATTCTTTGTAGGAAGTAATTGTCTTTTTTATGTATGCCGAAGGATGAGCTTATGAAAGTCAGTTAATAGGAGCTGTCAGAATAAAGAATTACTGAACCTTACATGTGTACAGATATGTGTGTAATTACACATAATGAGAGGTGCTCATTTTATGCACATATGTATAATGAGTACTTCTCATTTAGTGTTTTAGAAACTGCTCCGTGCTCATAATATTCCTAGGATAGAATAGTTTGAAATGCTGGTGTATGTTTTAGGTTTTAGATACACAACACATCTACAATGTAATGAGCACCTCTGTAATAGAACAGTTGCTGACATTTTGATTTAGTTCAGTCTGTTCTGGACTTTCTGGAGAGTCTTTTTGTTGCAGCTTAGTGAAAAATAATTGGTTGAATGAGGAAAGGAAGAAATATAAATGAAATAGTTTTTAGGAAGGACTGACAAGAATAGTAGAAAATGATTCGGAGAAGTTTCAAGAAAACTTTCCAGGATTCTGCCACAGCTGATTGGTTGCAGTAACTTTGAGTTCTGTTGAACTTGTCAAGTCCTCACATCAGATGTTTTAGTGGATGCTCCTGTTCTGACCACGTCATAGATGAAAAAGCTGAGATAGAGAAACGTAACTTGGAGACAGAGTCCCTTTCTGACTGACGTGAATCCACCCCAGGCATGTCACTCATAAAACCTTTCTAGAACCACTTAATTTACTAAAATACCTACCAAAAAGGGACATGAAAGACCTAGAAAATCAGATGAACAGATCTTTATAAGAATAAAGACATTTTAGTATAAGTCAAAAGTTATAGCTTTTCCCTTCTGGCAAATGCAAACACAGAGTAAAAAAGTAGTGTGAATTTTTTTTTTTGTAATTCAGATTTTCTTCCATAGGTCAAAAGTTAAGAAAATTAAGCATTCATCCATTTAAATACCTTTTTAAAAAGTAGAGATGTATTAAATTATTATACCTTCTATTAATTTATAATCTTAAGTTTAAATGTCTGATATAATTTAGTAGTAAGATATGACACTGGTTATCCCACAGTGCCAAGGCAGGTTTTCATTCATACAGTGCTTTTCTATTGCTGCTTTATTAAGCAATAGGAAATTTTATCTCTAGGAGCAACAGTCCATATATTGAAATCATTTTAGATGTTATTTAAAATGTATTTTCATCCATTATGATCAATAAATAAAGCCAGTTCCAAAAGTACAAATATTATATGTTCCCTCTGAAATAAGGCAACTTCCATGCGAAATATAAGATAGATATATAGGTAAACATATATACATATATGTTGTCATAGATGAACTGTTTAATGGAGACTAGCATACTGGGGAATGAAGATGTTGCAGTATGCATCTCTATTCCGGAATGAAGGAGAACTCCTGATGAAACTGTTACATGTACCTTGACCATAGATACTATAGTATCTGCCATGGTAGATACAATGCTACCTGTAATGCTGTGATACAGTGACCAGCAGAATGAAGGACTGTGACTATTGTTGAAGAGCTGTACTACTGTAGTAATACAGGGAAAGCAGTGTGAGGGGTGGGGAGGCAATCACTGTGCCTATGCAACTGTATCAGAGAAAAATAAGTTAAAAAAATCTTCCCATTTTGATTGTACTATAAAATAATTTTCATTATTAAGTGAAATTCGATTTTATTTTTATCTTAAAAATGCTTTGGTATTTGTTATCATCCCATAGTGATTGTTACTTTTGTATGGTTTTTATTAACTTGACTAAAAGAAAAAGGAATTTTGTTTTTAATATTTCTTTTTTTTTTTTAAATGTTTTTAGTCAGCAAGTCATATTGCTTCTAATGCCAAAGCAAGTGCAAAAATGAAGAAGGACAACATGAAATATGCTAGTTGGGCAGCTAGTCAAATAAACAGAGCTTATCAGGTTAGTATTCAAAATTTTGATATTATGTAAGTCAGCTTGTGCATTTTTTAGTTATTTTTGCCTATAAAGACTATATAACGATTTTATGCCTTGATCCTTTATCAGATGTGTTTTAATTGCTTATGTAGTAGATTTGGGGCCATGGTTTTTGTTTGTTTTTCCGCTAAGAGTCAGTATTACCTGATCTGGACATCTCAGTGGTGCTGCTTTTGTCACCTTGAGGCCCTGCATTTATTCATTTCTGGTGTCCTCTTTTATACAGTGTTAGTTTTATGAGATTTACCTGTATATATGTCTATATTTTATTCATATTTACTGTATTAAATAGTTTATTGAATAAATACAGTTTATCTGGTTAGTTGCTGGCAGGCAATCTAAGTGTTTCCTAGTTGGGCTTTTGCAAATAATGCTACACTGAATTTTATGTGTAGGGCTTATCATGTACATATGCTTCCAACGATTATTCACCTTGAAGTGGAAATACTGGGTAACAGAATATATGTATAACCTTTGCTGAGTGAAGGCAGTTTTCCAAATCTGTTTACCTCCATAACCATGTTTGAAAGATGTATAGTTAACATATTCACCAAGGTTTGGTTATTTCATTGTTGAAATCTTAGCTGCTGTACTGTGTTTTTATGTTTGTGTGTGTGTGTGTGTATGTGCTTATTTTATATCTCCCTTATGATTTGTCAGATTGTACACTTCGGCAGGTGTCTTAGCCATTTAGATATCCTTTTTTTATGAAGTCTCTTACTCCAGCTAGTTTGATGCATTTAAGCTTTCTGGTTATGAGTCTTTTTTTTTTTTAAGATTTATTTTTTGCATAGGAAAGGCTGATTCACAGAGAGGAGAGATAGAAAGATCTTTCATTTGCTGGTTTACTGTCCAAATGGCTGCCAAGACCAGAGCTGAACCAAACCAGGAACCCCATCCAGGTGTCCCTGCGTGTGCAGGGTTCTAAGACTTTGGGCTGTCCTCCACTGCTTTTCCCAGGCTGTAAATAGGCAGCTGGATGGGGAGTGGAGCAGCCAGTTCATGAACATTGTCCCTATGGGATGCTGGTGGGTGACTAGCTAGTTGAACTATCACACTGGTCCCTATGAGTGTTTTTTTGAGTATATGTGTTACAAATATCTCTTATGTCCTTATTTTTGTTCTCACATAATTTTGAACAATAGAGTTTTGATGTTAAATGTGTTAAGACTTATCATTCATTGTCTTTATGTCCATGATTTTTGTATTCTGAATAAATCTTACTATTCCATAGACTTTGTGTGTCTCCCCATTTTATTTATTTATTTAAGATTTATTTGAATGAAAGCCAGAGTTAGAGAAAGAGAGAGAGCAAGTGAGGGGGAAGGGACTAAGAGAGAGAATCTTGCAACTGCTGGTTCATTTTCCAAACGGCTGTGGTGGCTGGGCTGGGTAGCTCTGGACCCAAGAGCCTGCTCTCTTTTTCCTTTGCAGGTGTAGGAGCCCAAACACTTGCATCATCCTCTGCTGCTATTGCAAATGCAGTGGCCAAAGGCAGCCATTTTCCCCACTGGGACACAGCACCTGCCTCTCCTATGTTTATTCTTATATTTTCCACAGATAGATCCACAGGCCACTTTGACTAGGTCTTTTGTATGTAATGTTTGAAAAAATCAGTTTCTTCTCATGTAGATATCTGCCTTTTCTATTGATCTTTGTGTTTTATCTCTGCCCCATTTTATGAAAGCTAGATCATTCTAGTAAAGAGAACACAGGTGCTATGCTAGATCTGTATTGTCTGGGTCAAAATTTACCTCTGACGTTTATATGCTATATAACATTGGATTGATTACAGATATATATTAACCCAGAATAATAAAAGTATTTTGTGGATTAAAGCATATAAAACTTAACTTTTTGCCAAATTATAATAGGGTATATTAAATTGTGCTTATAATTGTGCACTTTCATTTTGCTTTCTGCATGCTCTGATTATTGCAATAACAGCAATAATTATAATAGCCTACCTTTACGAGAGAATTTATTTAACATTTGCTGTGTTACAAATGATGATTGTAAGGAGTGGAGAGATTAAATAACTTATTCAAGGTAGCACAGATGTGTATTGACAGCAGATTTCCAGCCCAGGCAGTCTGACTCCAGTGTTGCTACTGTTGTGGGTTACAATGTACAGCCTAGATAGAAAGCTAACATGTATCAATGTATCTGGAGCTATTGTAGAGTAGTATCTAACTTCCTCCCAAAATTAGCATCTTACTCCTATTTGTTTCTGTTCATTTGAGACCTGAAGCTCTCATTACTAATTAAATTGAGGAGGGGTTTGGTTTGATTTTTTTTTTTTTTCTTGCTGTCCCTTCAGTGATGGTAGGCCCTGCTAACTTGTGTTCTCCAGTTTTGAGTTTTGCTCTGATAACTCTGAAAATGTGGTTTGCCTTTTTGTTACTCTATAGGAAAAGATAATATAAGGAAGTTTTTTTTTCATTCCTTGCTCATTTTGGATAACTAGGTAGCACAATTCTCAATGGTTATGTGAAATATCTGTGCAATAGCTTGGAATATTCCTTAACTGAAAAATCACCTGTCATGCAATGTTTATTTTTTTTATCTCTTGACAGCGATAATAGATTTTTAATACAATGTCTCAGTGCACTTGAAGCTTGCTTCACATCCTTTCTGTCCTCTTCCTATAGGTCAGGTTCCATAACCCTTTACAGGTATTCACGTTTGCTAGTTTTATGAATGGCAACTTACCTATCATTGTGTAATCAGTTTAGTAATTGTGCTTTCTGAAATATCTGGATGATCGATGACCTCACATAAATAATGGACCACTTGACACTGTTTAGCTGGTAGTACTGTGCCTTGTGTCTTTCATTCAGCAAGTAGTATGGGATTATTCACACGCTGATTGTCAAGAGTTCTAGAAGTGTCAGATAGATAGTTCAAATGTGTACGCATTTTTAATCCTGATTGGGTCACACTTTGCCTAGTATTCCATTAGTTAAAACATGTTTCATGGTCAACCCAGAATCAAGAAATACAAAACTTCTCAATGAGAAGAAAAAAATTTAATTATCTGCAGTGTATTATACTATATACTGTGTAAATACTGTTTTAGTTCATTTTGCCTTTTTATCTGTTTTATTGAGGTATTATCTAAGTATAATAAAGCACACATATTTTCAGTTTATAGCTTGAGTTTTAATTACTTCAGGTAGCATAGCACTTCCATTACCTCAGAGTTACCCTGCTTTCTTTTGACAGTTCCATCTTATCCACAGCAGGCAAACACTGGCTGAACTTTTAAGCACAAAAATTAGTTTTGCCAATACTGGAATTTGGTATAAGTGAGATCATAGGTTATGAGCGTTTTTGTGTCTGGCTTCTGTCAGCATAATGTTTCTGTTACATAGACATCCAGAGATTCATTTCATTTATGGTCTGTTACTTTGTCTACCCATATGCTTTGCTGCAAGTTCCATAGAAGATTTTCTCCTGATATATCCCAGTGTATTGCAATGAATGAACCATTGACCTGTAAATTTGATAAGCTAGTGAAAGTTTTATTCAAACAAATTAAGCACTTGGAAACAGAAATTCAAAGTTATGAATAATGTGCAAAAGTATTAGTTTACTTGTTTTAAAGTAGATAAATTTCAGATCCAGTTAAACTACATGACTCATTCATATAAGCATTTAAAAGTATAAAGTAAGTATTCTCATTAAGTTTCTATAGATTTTTATTTGGAGAAAATCAGAATTTAAAAACTGCTTTTGTTTCTACATAATGAACAAGAACATGGTTACCACTTGGTTTTCAGTTAGGTCATTGGTTTAGTGTGTTCAACAGAGGCAGGCATGTTTGGTTAATGCTCATGAGAAACGTTAATGTGAACATACAATAATGTTCCAGATAAATGCTTCTTAGGTACACTGTTAAATTTGTCTGTCCCAGTGAGCCGCATGTTATTTATGATTGCAGATGTGATTCTGTTACTATCCTTTTGGGAAATAGAAAATTAAGTCTTGATTTTAAGGAAAAAATATGATTTTGGCTTAATCAGTTAAATTGCCCATAATTCTGGAATAGACAAAATAATTGCATGTCAAGAAAAATTTGAAGTGAAAGATTTATATTTCCAGCTTGCTTTTTATTTGTTCTGACACCAATAGGTTAGTTTGATTTACCTTAAATTTCATTGGTTTTCAATAATACTGACACATCTTAGGTGATTTTTAAGAATTAATTCATTTTAAAAAGTCATCTTTCTCGTTATTATGTTAAAGTACAAACTAAGAGAAATGCTGTATTTGAAATTACGTGCTTGAACTTTAGCTTGTAACATTTTTCCATTTTTTATTTTGCTATTTAAAAAGTTTTGATGAAAGTTACTGTGTGATATCCTATTTTGTACCCTCCCCCAAAGCCATCCACATGTTGCTCAGAGTTATACCCTTTGCATATCTGATTAGGACCAGACCTGTTTACATTGGGTGGGCAATGGTAAAAGAAAAGGCTTTCTGTTCTTGGTAAATCCTTGTGATCATGAATTTATCAATTGAATAAAAGAAGTGAAAGACATATTCCACATTCTTTATTCACCAAGAGAAATTATAAAATAGTTATCAATTTGGGTACCATATTTTGTGATTCTGACATGAATTCCTAAAATTAGTGATGCCTTATTAAACGCAAGATGACTTTAATTTTAAAGCTTTCCTTTTCCATGGCATTTCTCTAAGAAACCCCATTATTTACTCTATGAAATCAAGAATTCACCACAGAAGCTAATGTTTTAGGAAGTAGAGGAATCAAAATGTTAGACTGTAGCCAGAGGTCAGAGGCAGGTTACCAGTTCCTGCAGCCTGTGCTGGGTGATGGTACCTTGGCCTGCGCACTTCATCTTTCCCAATAGGTCATGGGAAGTGTGCCAAATTAAGTTAATTACAAAAGAGGAGAAACACATCATAAATCAAGTATCTAGTACTTAAGGCAGCGTTGCTGTTTGAAGGAATCATCAGTCACTTGAAAATGCATCCAGTGGTTAGATGTGATGTGAAAATTACTAGATGTTGTTTTAACCAGAATGTTAACCAGGGAAGAAAGCAGGTAATTTATATATAAAAACTTTCTCTCTTCTACACAAGGGACACATATTGTCTGTTAAATGTGATGTGTAAAGTCGAGACTGATAAATGGTAGGAACTATCCAGTTAGAAAACTCATTTTGAAATCAGCAGGGGTTATTCAACATGTAACCCCCAGTGATAATGTTTACTATGTTGGAGTAACTGTACTGTGAATTTACTTTTAATTAAACAAAGATAGTACTTGCTGCGTTATTTTTTTGTTTTATTATAAAGTCCGATTTCAGTGTAGTTTTTGCAACACAGTTTAAGTTCACGTTTTAATTGGAGTTTTACTTTACATGTTTTTACTGTACAAATGCATTATTTTTATCAACTGATCTGGAAAATGATGTGTGTATATATAAATATACACACACACAATGTCCTACTATAACTAATTTTAGGAATTAACAGCTTTAAAATAGTTAATAGAACGTACTTTAACTCACATTGTACCTTTGTCTGAAATTGTAAAGGTCCACTTAGAAGTCAAATACACGATATTCATGTCTAAATATAATTTATTGGTTAGATATTACATTGATTTAGAATGCCACAATGTCTCTACACTTCAGCTGCCTTCTACCCCAGATTTTGTTCTTGTTGGAGATAAAAAATGTGTGATTTCATGCTAGTTATATGATAATTAATGCTGTTTCGTTAACAATATAATGATAAGATTGGGATTTTGAAGCTGCCACTAAAACCTAATTAAGCTTTTTTTCTTTTCTGTTCTGTTCTTTTTTTTTTTAAATTAGTTTGCAGGTCGAAGTAAGAAGGAAACCAAATACTCTGTAAAGGCAGTTGAAGACATGTTGGAAACGTTGCAGATCACCCAGTCTTAAGGTTTCCAAACTCTTTGACATTAGATTTCACAACAGCACAGTTGAACTCACTGGCCTGTGACTTATTTACTAAATGCCCAGTGCTATTTATATCTGATTTTCTCTTAAGAAGGCAGTTACAAAGAATGTGTTTATATAAACCTAAAAATGCCTTTTCCTGCTAAGCAGAAAGATGGAGGAACTCCATAGAAGGAAGATTTAAGACTTAACTAATTGTACACCAATCTCTTCATATCACATATATATAATCATTGCTTTTAAGTCACAACCTGATGCAGAAATAACCTTGTTAAATAAACCATCATGATTTATTAAACTTGAATATGAAAATTGTAGCTTCTTTTTGTTATGCTCATAGTCAATAGTTTTAAAACTCAATTTCTAGTTAACCCTTCACGAAAACTACGAAATACGCCTCATCTGTAGGTGACAAAGTTAGGTTATTTTAACTTTGTTAATGTTGTCAGCTTGAATTTTTGCTTTACCTTTTGGTGGGCTATATAGTTCAGTTAGATGCTATAATGTTATTCTGAGAAACTTTGGTTAAAATATGTCATTCCACAAGGTTTAGCAATATTTCTTGGTAAATTTTTGTTTTCATCTAAAGCATCATTGAGATTTTTTTTACCCATGAAATGCCTGAAAGATAATGTGTACTATAATACTTAAATTTAACCTTTCTACAGTTATATTTAAAAATTTTGTGACCGTAAATTACATAACAGGTAAATTAAGGATCATAGAAAATACAGGTGAGAAGAACTGCAGTGGCTGTTTTTATTTTGAGGGAAAAATGAGGAAATCTAAACTGTCTTTAGAAAAAAAAAATAGTATGGCTTTATTATCTTAATCATAGGAAAAGTTATGATTACCAAGTATTTTTTCATAGTAAATATTGTGTTATTTTCAACAGTATTTTTGCATGTTTCAGGAATGTTAAAAAAATTTTTGGAAGCTAGATACTTTAGGCACAAGTCCATTTTTCAAGTAGACAATTATGTATTCAGGACACATTTATTAGTAATAAATTGCAACTCATGTATCTTTAAATTTTACTTGTTTATGTTAACCACATATAGGTTCTGTATTATAGACTTGTTCCTGCTATTTTTGGGCAAGCAGAGATTGTGGAGAAGTTGCCAACCTAATCTTTATGAAGAAAAAATTTCTCAATGTCAGCTTCTTTTAACCTTTTAACTAACTCTTACTGTCAGTAAATATTTAATCATATTTAATCTAATCTTAAGTGTTATGAAATCTCTTATTTTGTTCTGCCAGGAATAATGAGCCAGTGTTTAATTATCTTCCATTAAAAAAAACTCCTCTCACAGGAAGAGAAGTGTTTCTCGTACCTGTCATTGTTACGACAGATGTGGACTCTTCCTGAGCATGATGTTAGTAACTCTCAGTGATCATCCGTTTTAACGCCATTTGAGCTGTAAAGGACATAGTGCTTGCACATTGTCCTACCACTCTTTCTCTAATCCCTGCTCACCAGTCTATAGATTACTGTTTTATTAGCAATTATTTTAGTGTTTCTGATGGCTGTGAGCCAGTGTTGCATTGTTGGTATTACCTGTTTCTTCTTTGTTAACATTATCCCATTTTGTTCAGATGGTAACAAAAATCCCCTCTTCTCAAAGCCTTTAGGATCTTAGCACAGCTCCAGAAGTTAAAGCTCAATTGATCCAAAACAGAAATGTTTTTTTCATCCTTTTGTTCTGTGATTAGTCAATAAAATAAAGTTTGGTAGCCACACTTGCAATGCTTCAAATATGGCCAGTACAGCTGAAAAGTTCAATTTTTGATTTTATAAAATTTAAACAAACCCACAGGTGATTCATGCTACCATATTAGACAGTATAGATTTAAGATGTTGGGATGACATAGTTACATGCTAAGGAAATGAAGAGAGGCCTCCTTGAAAGGACCTTCCTTTCCAGGTTCTCAAAGTGACAGTTTTTTACCTGTTTTCTTCCACTGAACTGAGTGTCAGTAAGAGACCTAGAAGTCTATCAGTTGTCTTACAACTGTGGATAAGAAATCTGAGAATGAAGGTTCATTTCAAAGATGGAGCTGAAGCATCAGGCTGGCTGAAGCCTGATTCTAATGCTTTTGCTCTGAACACCTGAATCAACATGAGAAGTTGCCAGCCTCTGTACTTATCAGTACATGGCAAAATTAACCCTTCATATTTAAGATACTGTAATTGGAGTTCTTGTTGCTTTAGCCATGCATGCTTCTGAATTATATAACCAGAATTCAACCTTTTTTTAACCCTTCAAAACTCTTCTCTTATATTTAATCAGGAGTGCTATGTAAGAATGTAATGTGAGGCAAAAAGATAGATGCATCAAACAAAAGTAGTATCTGCTTTACAAAACCTTAGCATTCTAAACCAACAGAATTAAAAAGTGTCATATTTATAGAGCTTTAAGCTTAGAATAATACTGACTTAAGAGCAGAGGAGAAAGTAGGAGAAAAAAGTAAAAATGTAAGGCTAGTGTTTCAGATGCTAGGGAGCATGCAGTTTAATTTTGAACAGTAAATATTTCAAAGAATTGTTTTTTTTTAATCCACAGCCCACTCACTAGTTATCAGATTAGCTCATGTGACTTCATTTTGTAGAACCATGTGGTTTTAGAAGGGATTTTGGAGATGATTTGGTTGTACTCAATCTTAAAGTGAAGAATCTCAGACTCATGGAGGTCAGTCTTTTCTGTGATCGCAGAGACAATGTCAGGGATTTTATGTCAGTACTCTTTCTAGCATGTTCTAATATGTCTGTCTGTCTTGTCTGTATAGGGTGGCTAAAATGAGGGCCAGATATATGCAAGGATTGTGGTTTAGTAACAGAACAAGGGGTGGCATTCAGATTTCCTGATTTGTAAAACATTTTTTAAACACTATGAGAACCATTTTAGAAATCTTAGCTCTACTGACTGCCTCTTTTGTTTTGGTTCTTTGTATCTGTCCTTGTCATCCTTAGTAGGATGCCTATTGATTAATATAGGCTGAATCTTGGGTTCCCAAAATCTATATGTTAACATCCTAACCCCCAATATCTAAGACTATGATCAGACTGTGTATTTAATGAAGTTAAAATAAGATATTTATTTATATAAAGTGGTAATGAAGTTAAAATAAGGTATTTATTTATATTAAAAGCATGATGGGCCACCATTGTTGTACTGCAGGTTACAGGCTGCAATGGCACCATCATCTCATGGGCACTGGTTCATGTCCCCATTGCTTCACATCCCATTCCACTCTGCCAGTGGGCATGGGAAAGCAACAGAAGATGGCCCAAGTATTTGGACCCCTACCACTGGATGCAACTCCTGAGTACTGGCTCCTGGCTTCGCCTAGCCCAGCTCTGGGCAGTGGAGAGAGGACCATGGGATAGAAGATCTTGATTTCCTTGTTCCCTTATTATGTAGCTCTTTCAAAGAAATAAATCTGTCTTAAGAATGAAAGGGAGGGAAAGAGGGAGTGAGAGGAAGGAAGAAAGGAAGGAGAGAGAAAAGCAGTAAAAGGACATAGGCACAAAGTGGAAGACCATGTAAGAGCTCAGAAAGCAGCTGGACTTCTGTCAGCCAATGAGAGAGCCCTCCAGAGAAACCAGCCTGAACACCGTAAGGAGATCATATTTCTACAAGACTTGTCCGTGGTACACTCCAAGCAGCAGACGAACGACTGTACCAAATGTCCATGCCAAACTTTGTTATCAGAATTTATATCTTATTTTTGCCATCCCCTTTTTAAAAATTGCCTTATTGTGGCATTCTCCCTGCCTACCATTCCACTGAAATGGTTTATTGTCACTAGCCATCTTTTTGAAACCATGGCCATGTCCTATTACTTTTGTGCTCTGATTATTACCTCAGGTCTGTGCATTTCTATTTCTATTGCTACCACTCAAGTTCAGGCTACCATTATGTCACTTTTTAAAAAAAGATTTATTCTTATCTGAAATATGCTCATTCATCTGCTGTATGGCCATAGTAACCAGAATTTACTGATTCTGATTTTTATCTGAATCCACTGTTTCATCCACCATAACATTACAGTAATCAGAACTGAACTGATCCAAAGCCGTGAGCCAGTAGCTTCTTCTGGGTCTCTTACTAGGTGCAGGATCATAAGGGGGCTGGCCATCCTCTGATGCTTTCCCAAGCCATAAGCAGGGAACTGGATCAGAAGTGGACGAGCCCAGACTAGAACCATTGTCTTTATGGGATGCCAGAACCACACGGTGGAGAATTAGCAGGTTATGCTATCGTGCCAGTCCCATCTGTTACACAATTTCTGAACTGCTGCCATAGTCTTTCAGCCAGATTTATTCCATCACTTTACCCAATCCATTCTTGACTGCAGTCAGAATGTGACTACAGACTGATGTCCTGTTTTGTTTCTCCTTCTACCCCATTAAAACTCTGTTATTCTCCATTTCTTGGGTCTTAACATGGCCCTTAAGATTGGAGAGAGTGTCAGAACCAACAGCAAGATTCAAATTCCCACTTTTCTAAATGTTTGCCTTTGCTTTCCATCTCTAAATTCTGCCACATTTAAGTGTCATGAAGTTGTTAGACTAATGCCTGCAAACTTTTTGTATTCTTGCCTCTGTTTAGAGCAAAGGTTTTTTGACTCCTCTTCTGGAACACTAAAGCCAGAATTGTTACACAGTTGTGGTTGTTTTTTTGTTTTTTTGTTTTGTTTACCTGCTTGTAATTCTTATTGTTTCATTCTGAAACACTTTAATTCAAAACAAGTTGCAAAAATATTGCAGCAATTCTGCTAAGTATAGCTTCTCCTGGTTCTGTTATGTAAACATAGCATTGTCATACCAGAAAATTGACGTTGCAACATTACTGTCAACTCAGGTACAGGCCTTTACACAGATATTACAGTTTTTACCTGTGTTTTGTTTCCTGTGTGCCAATTGTGTTCATATATGTGGATTTATATTACTGTAACCACAGTCAAGATACAGAACAGTATATCACCACAAAGAAGCTTTTTTTCACTACTTCATAGTAATTATGCCCTCATAGAATCTCAGGGCCTGATCATGTATTGGTCTGTTCTCCACAGCTATTATTTTGTCACTTTAAGAATGTAATATAAATAGAACATAAAATGTGTAGTTCTTTGAGAAATGTTTTCACTCAACATATTGGCCTTTAGATCCTTAGTGTTTGTATCAGAAGTTTGTTCCTTGTTATTGCCAAGTAATGTTCCATCTTATGAATGTCCCACATTTTGTTAATTCACTCATCTTTGAAGGGCAGTTGTGTTGTGTCCACGTTTTGTCTGTTGGAAATCAAGCTCCTGTGAACACTAATGTCGTGACTCTTCTATGAACTTTTTTTTTTTACTTACGTGGAATAAATAATATTGTATGGTGAATGCACGAGTTAACATTTTCAGAAACTTCAAAATATTTAAAGATTAGATAACACTAGTTCTGTGTGACTTCTATCAGAAAATAGACGGGATACCTTCCAGCCTATAGTATGAGGCCAGCATTATCCTGATGATAATACTTTCATGAGTATAAATACAAAATATAGCAGATTGAAAATGTAACAAAGAATTCCTAGCCACTCCCACATTGAGTTTATTTTGGAAATCTGATTCAATATTGAAAAATCAGTCATTGCAACAGGAGGAGGATTTTTGAAAAATATCATTATATCAGTGTGGAAAAGTTTCTTTACAAAAGTAAATGTCCATTTATGATTGTGAACAAAATCCTGCAATTAAAGAGAATTTTCTCAGCTTGAACAGCACACATGAAATCTGATGAAAGGTGAGAAGTATTTTGTTTAACACTGGAAACAAGGCAAGGATATATACCCACACCATTTCTATTCAGCGTAGTAAGTAACACTGTAACTGGAGCAATAAAATCAGAAGAAATGAAGGATACAGAGATGGATAAGGAAGAAATAAAACTGCACACTTACCAATACCATTTAAAAATCTGAAGAAGTCTACAAGAATTTAGTTGAACTAGCAGGTGAGTTTATAGCATATAGTATATATTTGAGTGAATTTTGAAATCTTATACACATTTAGTTGTAACTTGTTTAACAACTTACTTCCAGCAGTAGCTTACCTCTACCTCCGCTTTCAGTTAATTCTCTGGTAAAAGAAGTTATAATTGAGAATTTTCATCAACTCTGAAGACAAGAGCTTAGCCAGTTAAGTCGCCATCTGCAGCACTGGCATCCCATATAGGTACCAGCTCTAGTCTGTTTTCAACTCAGCTCCCTGGTAGTGTACCTGCGAAAGTGGAAGACACCCATATATCCAGGTGGGACACCCAGCTGAAGTTTCTGGGTTCTTTCTGCCCCAGCCTTTGCCATTGTGGCCATTTGGGGGAGTGAATCATCAGATGGAAGATTTCTGTGTGTTGCTCCCTCTCTTTTAACTAACTTTGAAGTAAGCAAGTCTGTCTCTCTCTTTTTTTTTTAAGGTACATCAAGATCTAGTTAGTGCTTCTCAAAGTGTTTTCACATGGGAAGTCATTAGAAGTACACATTCCTAGGCCCTACCTCTGTCCCACCAAA